CACCTAAAGGAAATGCTTCAATCGAGAGTCCTAATCCATTTCCATCGCATGGTAGAATGATGGACGCTCTTCTTCTTTTTTTCTCTCTCCTTCATGAAATAATTCAGAACACTTTTGAGCATCACTTTCACCGATTTTTCTTCAAGTGCTTTCAATACAATTTTGACAATCCTTTGTAGTCAAACCAAGGTTGTATAATCCCCCTGCCAGTGTTCTTAAAACTGACAAAAGATTCAAGGACCTTTTTCTCACCTCATCAAGAGTATGAATCAAGGTTCTCACAATGTTAGAGACACACCTATGACATCGAATCAAAGATACTTTTATCAAGGAAAGCACCTGATGTTTATGGTCTTTAATAAATTTTCTAATAATCCATTTCCCTGATTTACCCTCTTTGTGTATATACTTGCTCCGCATCCTACCCTCGTAAATGGATGTAGTTTTTCAGTACTTCCAATTTTTTTTCCATAACAACCTTGCTTACAACATACAAAGTATCGACCAATAAACTCAACATCCTTCAAGAGACGTTTGTCATAGCAACAGATGCCAAAACCCCTTTGTCATGCATAGTCATTACAGAAGATCCTAACATCTAACTAAGATTTGAACATGCCTTCATGTGGTTCAACATGCAAAGGACCTTCATGATCAATTGCTACAATACCCAAATCATTCTCCATATCACTACTTATTTGCTCATTTTCCTTAAAATCAGTTCAAACAATTCCCAAATTGTCCTCCAAATCATCCTATAATGACTGCTATTTGAAGCTCCATTTGCACTAGAAGGCAAACGAATGAGCAATGCCGTGATAATTACTGTCATTCCATGACTAGCATATAGATTTAAATCAATCAAAATGCATAAAAAGGAAACGAAATGGAAAGTTTGAAAAACTCAGCAGCATCTTAATATATGAACAGATCCACTGAACCACTTTTTTATTATCGACACAATGTAGCAACAAATGATTTTAAATTATTGGTTTTAATAAAAAATTTGCAATTCCAATTTGATTTTAAGACCAAAAGTTGACATAAAACTAATGGGAAACATTACCATTGCATGAAATAATTCGATGGCTAAATCACCGCCCTTTCCCTTATCCTATGACACGTCCACACAAAAAATATTTCGAATAGTTGAGAAGATGAATAGCAATATTTGATATATGAATTGGTAGTAGTATTTTTACAGATTATAAACAACAAATAAGATACAACTCAATGAAGTGAGTCAACAAATAAGATACAATTCAATCACCAAAGTCTAGAGGAATTAATTTTACAAGGAATGGTTCCAATGAAAGAAACAGCATGGAATGGCAGCTACAGAGAACATGAAGCGTTGTTATCATACAGTGACTGGAAAAGTTAAAATTGGAAGGGAGATTTTCTTTTTTCTTTTTTTTGGGTAAGTAATTAGAAGGGAGATAGTCATCACAGAAGTCACATAACGCAATTTATTTCACATTGAAACTTAAAGAATAATTACTTTTCTATCTGAAAATAAAGGAAAAACAATAGCATTTACTTTTCAGCTAAATACCCCAAAACTGAACACTGGTTTGAAAAGAATCCACATGATATTGTTCAAGTCACCTAAAGGGCTCAAATTTTCTCATAAGGATTTTACAGGAACTATGGCAATTTATTTAAATGCGATTAAGCACTACAAGAAAGTCGTTGAACCAACGATCTCTAGACGATATCCACAAGAATTGGATGAAGACATAAAATCATGTATGCAATGCATATCCCCACATCAACCCTAAACCACTTTATTCATTTAACTTATCAAAATATTTATCCATTGATACATATTTTAGCAAACACATTAACATAACTGTAACCAATAATCTGAATTCTATGGAAAATAATTTAATAAATGCAATTAACAAGCAAAAGTTATCATTAATCACTTCATCAGACTGCTCCATTAAAAAGAATCCAAGTCCAAAGTTTTATCATCAAACCTATTGGTATCTGGATCTTGATATGGATATGTATTTTCTTGACGGATGTCCAACCTGCTGTCCTCTGTATCATCTACATTTGAGCATGTATTTGCCTGAGGGGTGTGATGGTATTAGTTTATATAAGGTGTCGATCCTATACTGTACAAGTAAGGTGCACCTCAAAAACACAATCCAAGAATGTTATTTTGTCACTAGAAAATTCTTCAAGTGATCATTTTGACCTCCATGTGTATGGACATGAGAGAAAAAATGAATTTCAAGTCTTATAGCACATCATGTAACAAATTATATGGACAGTCGATTTTTAAGGTTTCTAAGTGTTTATAAATATGCTGCACCATTTTGAAACTATCAATTCCATAATAATGGTGAAAAATAGACTCTTAGGCCCTTATGAGTGTTTCGGCACTAAAAATACGTCTTTTAACGAGATTTTTAAAGTACATTTTACTGTAATTGTTTAAGGTTCACACCTTATTCACACCCATTAAAAAAACAACATGCACCAGCAGGCTCAAACTGGATTGCCGGTTGCTTGCACGTGAATCTCAATTAAGCCCTGATCTTCGTAGAACACCTTGTTTGAAAGGTAAACGCCCTCTCCTAATACATTCCCAAAAAAAAATATTAAAAGAATTAGAATGAACAATCCAAATTGATATTAAAAGAGTTTAAGATTATCCATTATTAAGAATTAACTTTGAAAAAAGTTTATATAAGGTTGACGCCTTAAATTGTAGATGGCCTCTCCTAATACATTCCCAACAAAAAATTCATTAAAAGAATTAGAATGAACAATACAAATTGATTTTAAAAGAGTTTAAGATTATCCATTATTAATAATTAACTTTGAAAAAAGTTTATATAAAGTTGACGCTTTAAATTGTAGACTGCCTCTCCTAATACATTCCCAACAAAAAATTCATTAAAAGAATTAGAATGAACAATCCAAATTGATATTAAAAGAGTTTAAGGTGCACTTCAATAATACATTGAAAAAGGTTGTTTTGATATTGAAAAACCATCTAATTGGCTATCTCCACATTGAGATGTATAGCAATAGAAAAAGTCATAAAAATTGTACATCTTGTAATACATTATATAGAGCGTCCATTTTCAATATTTATATGCATTTATAGATTTTCTTAATTTAAACTATTTTTTAAGTTTAAAATTTTAAATTAAAGATGAAAATAGATACTCAGGCCATCTTAAAATTTTTCGACACCAAAATTGTTTCTTAAGACAAAGTTTGGAGGTACGCCTTACTTTGATTGTTTAAGGTTTTAACCTTATACAAGCCACACGCTTTAACTTTTCCATGTTCATAATCCTTGTAGTCAAAATTGTTGGCCATTTAAAAAATGAAAATGGTTTGATAGGACAGGAGCCCTATCAAACACATGTAAAGCGTCACCTCAAAACTCAAATGAAAATTGTAGTTATCACGTTAGAAAAGCTTCAAATTGATCTTCCAGCCATGACCATTATGTTTGTGAAAAAATCAGGATTTCACGTCAAAAAAATAGTTCGAATTGTAACACATTATCTAGGCAGTCCATTTTTCCTAAAATAAGTGATCACAAATCCACAAGATCTGTATCATTTTTTTTAGCTTTAAATGTTATAGTTAGATTTGAAAATTGATTTTAGAACTATCATGGTGATTTTTCATATCCAAATTACTGTCTAGACGAGGATTTGAGGTGAGATGTTATTTTGTTTTTATAAGTCTAGGCCAAAAAGCAAAAAAAAAAGTTTATTTAAGGTTACAACCTTACAATATATAATTAAAGTGAACCTCAAAAATACATCGAAAATGGTTATTTTAATGTGAAAAACCCTCTAATTGATCATCTTGACATAGAGATGTACAAAAATTGAAAAAAAAGATTTCAAATCCTAAAAATAATGTATCTTGTGATACATTATCTAGACCGTTTATTTTCAAGAATTTGATATGTTTACAGATCCACATGATTTGAATCATTTTTGGAGTTTAAAATTTTATAATTAAAGAAAATAGATTTTTCAGGTGATTCTATGGTATCAAAGTTATAGATTTGGGGAAAGTTTACATAAGGTTGCAACCTTAAAATGTAGAATTAAAGATGCACCTAAAAAATACATAGGAAAATGTTATTTTAAAGTTGAAAAACCCTCTAGTTGATCATTTCGGCATCGAGCTATATGAATATAGAAAAAAATTTATTTAAGTCCCAGAAATAGTACATCTTGCAATACATTATCTAATCCGTCCATTTTTATAATTTTCACATGTTTACAGTCCTACTTGATTTTGATCATTTTTTGAGTTTAAAATTCTATAATTAGATATTAAAATAGATTTTGAGATAATTCTAATAATGTTTTACACCAAAATTACATGTTGTGATAAAATTTGGAGGTACGCCTTAATTGGATTATTTAAGGCTGCAACCTTATAAAAACCACACCGTATATGTTATGATAAAATTTGGAGGTGCACATTAATTTGATTGTTTAAAGTTGCAACCTTATGCAAGCCACACCCTATAGAAAGTGCATCTTTAAAAAATAGAATTTGGAATAAAAAATTATTTCATGCAGCGGAGACCGTATTTCTACATTTGTAGTCCCAAAAGTACAAAACATCTGTCTTAAGATAAATACAAATAGGTGGTCCATCTAAAAATAATTGAAACTAATGGTCCAAACGTTTTATTAATAAAATTATTATTTTAAATTTTTAAAATTTATTTATTTTTTCATATTCATGATCTCCATGCTAGGGATTACTTCTCCTTAAAAATTAGGTACAAAAATCTACATGGACTCATAAAAACGTGTCCTTTTGGAGTAAGATAGTAGTTGAACACGACGAGTCTGCTGCCGCACCAAAACCCCATAAGTGGGCAAAAAGGCGAGGAAAAGGAGCGAAAATGCCCAAAAACGGTTCCACTAGATTGACGATCCGGATGAGAAATCACAGATCCTCTGTATATCTTGACCTTCCGTTTTAACTACGGAAATCTGAAAACTGCGATGGTGTACAGTTTTGGTTAAATTTTGGGCATTTTCGGCCCTCTCTCGAGTATTGATTTCTAAGCACTCTCCCCCGTTTCAACAGATATCGGAGTTCCTTCTCACTCTCTTCAAAACCATAACGGAAACACAGAGCGAGAGAGTGTGTGTGTGTGTGTGCGTGTTTTAGAGAGAGAGTGTTGCAGAGAGAGAAATGATTTTCTCTTTCTAGAATGGGCTCTGGTTCTTCGTTACACTATCAATTCCCTTAACATTCTCTGGTCTTATGCCTCAATTTTCAGATCTACAAGCTTGATCGATCTATTTCAGAGTTGCTACTTCTAGATCTGAAGGTACGCCTTAGTTTCTCGTTCTCTCTCATCCAGATCTGATACTTCAATTGAATTTCCTTACTATTTGGATCAGAGAAGGAAAAGTAGGATTTAGTCTACTATTCTGAAGAATTTGCCATCGAAAAACTAGGGTTTAGTATTCTTCTCTTGAAGAATTCACCATTACAAAAATGGAGAAATCGTGTAGCCTTTTGATCCATTTTGATAAGGGAACCCCTGCCCTAGCTAATGAGATCAAGGAAGCCCTAGAAGGAAATGATCTTTCCCTTAAGATTGAAGCTCTAAAAAAAGCGATCATGCTTTTGCTCAATGGAGAAACCCTACCTCAATTGTTCATCACCATTGTTCGATATGTTTTGCCCTCCGAGGATCATACAGTTCAGAAACTCCTTCTCCTGTATCTCGAAATCATCGATAAGACTGATTCTAAAGGGAAGGTCTTACCTGAAATGATCCTGATCTGTCAAAACCTCAGGAACAATCTTCAACACCCAAATGAATACATCAGGGGTGTTACCCTCCGATTTCTATGTCGATTATCTGAAACCGAGCTCATTGAGCCATTGATTCCCTCTGTTCTTGCGAATTTGGAGCATCGCCATGCTTATATTCGTAAAAACGCGATTTTGGCTATAATGTCGATCTATAAGCTCCCTCAAGGGGAGCAGCTCTTGGTCGATGCACCAGAAATGATGGAGAAAACACTTATGTCAGAGCAAGACCCAAGTGCAAAGCGAAATGCATTTCTCATGCTTTTCACTTGCGCTCAAGATCGAGCAGTGAATTATCTTCTCTCTCATCTTGATAGTGTTCCACAGTGGAATGAGCTCCTTCAAATGGTGGTTTTGGAGCTGATTCGTAAGGTTTGTAGAGCAAATCCAGGTGAGAAGGGGAAATATATTAAGGTGATCATATCTCTCCTCAATTCTCCTTCAACTGCTGTTATTTATGAGTGTGCTAGTACACTTGTTTCTCTCTCATCTGCCCCTACTGCCATTAGAGCAGCTGCGAATACATATTGTCAGTTGTTGCTCTCCCAGAGTGATAACAATGTGAAGCTTATAGTGCTCGATCGGCTTAATGAGCTCAAAATCTCACATAGAGAGGTCATGATGGATATGATAATGGATGTTCTCAGAGCTCTTTCGAGCCCCAATGTTGATATTCGAAGGAAAACACTTGATATAGCCTTAGAATTGATCACTCCGAGAAACATTGACGAGGTTGTTCTCACTCTAAAGAAGGAGGTCATGAAAACTCAGAGTGGGGAGCTCGAGAAGAATGGGGAATATAGGCAAATGCTGGTTCAAGCCATCCATTCATGTGCTGTGAAGTTCCCTGAGGTGGCGAGCACAGTTGTGCATTTGTTGATGGATTTCTTAGGCGACACCAATGTTGCTTCCGCCATGGATGTGGTTTTGTTTGTTCGAGAGATAGTCGAGACCAACCCAAAACTTAGGGTCTCCATAATAACCAGGCTTTTGGATACGTTTTATCAGATCCGAGCTTCCAGGGTTTGCTCCTGTGCTCTTTGGATAATTGGGGAGTATTGCCTCTCTCTATCTGAAGTTGAGAGTGCCATCTCGACAATCAAGCAATGCCTTGGGGACTTGCCATTTTACACTGCAACAGAAGAAGGAGAAGGTGGGGTGGATTCAAAAGGCTCAAACGCTAACCGAACGCAACAGGCAACCTCCATTACTGTATCTTCTCGAAGGCCTGCAATTCTGGCAGATGGAACTTATGCAACGCAAAGTGCTGCTTCTGAAACTGCTTTCTCAGCACCCACACTTGTCCAAGGATCATTGGCCTCTCCTGGTAACCTGAGGTCATTGATTCTTACTGGGGATTTCTTTCTTGGGGCAACTGTGGCATGTACATTGACCAAACTTGTCCTTAGGTTAGAAGAGGTGCAACCATCCAAAGCCGAAGTGAATAAGGTTTCAGTTGGGGCCTTATTGGTCATGGTCTCAATGCTCCAATTGGGTCAATCTTCATTTCTCCCTCACCCCATTGATAACGATTCCTATGATAGGACCATTCTTTGCATAAGGCTTTTGTGTAGTACTGGTGACGAGGTTCGGAAGGTGTGGCTGCAATCGTGTCGCCAGAGCTTTGTGAAGATGCTTGCAGATAAGCAGTTCCGAGAAATAGAGGAGATCAAGGCAAAGGCCCAGATATCACACGCCCAACCGGATGATCTCATTGACTTCTACCATTTGAAGAGTAGGAAGGTACGAGACAATTTCTTATTACTTTTGATTTTACTGGTTGATTTAGGTTTTATTCTTAGTTATGGATGTGCATTCGGACTTCATTTACTTCCCTTATTATACCTTTTGATTATGCTGGTTGGTTTAGGGCTTGCTTCTTAGTTATCTCTTTGCCTCTTGATTTCATTTACTTCCCTTGTCATTACATGAAACTAGGATGCTACTTCTATGTAATTATTAGAGAATGTTTTCTATAAAAATAGCATTTTTGTAGAAGTGACTCATGAGTGTGAATAATTACATGTAAAGAACCTTGCCTTATTGAGTTCGGACCGTAGCACTTTGAACAAATTTGTGAACACTTCATTGAAGGAACCTATTGTATTGATTCTCTCTAAGAAATGTGCTTCACGGTTGTTCACCTTCTTTTGAAGGTGAACAACCTTCTTTACAAATGGAACACAAAAAGGTATCAATGGCAGTATTTACTGTGCATAACTGCATACATAAGTCAATATACCTTTCATAGGATTCAGGCAGAAAATGTAGCTGAAGCTGGAAAGAAAGTCTTTCTTCTCAACCTTCAAAAAAGAAAAAGAAGGTCTTTCTTCTCTTGGAAATCAATGGAAATCTAGGTGGCTGTCTAAAATTACCACAATCTTAGAATAAAAAGCTTTTCTTGTGAAAGTACAGACGTATTTGAAAGCCGAATATTTAGTGTAAATCGTAAGCAGAGTCTGAACTGTTGAGAGTGCTTTTATGGGAAATAGTTTCTATACTTAAGTTTTATAGCACTTGTGCTCTTCTTTATTGCATGTAAGCATTTGGCTGCTGAAAGTACTATGCTCTTCTAATGTTGCTGAAAATTTGTTGGTATTTAGTCACATTTCTCAACCTAGAACAGCACTGATTAAGATGAGAAATTTGGTTCAAGTAGAAAGGCTCTAAAAGGGCAAGGGGAAGGCCCACATAAATGGAAGTACTGATAAGAGATATTGTGACATATTCTGATTGAGGGTATGGCCCTTGGTAGAGTTGAATGGCGAAACAGGATTCATGTAACAGACCCCAAATAGTTGGGATAAGGCTTAGATCATGATGATGATTTAGTCACATTTCTCATGCTTATTTTCTGCTAGTCCTTAACAATATAGTTTCGTGGTCTTTGTCGTATCATGCATCATTTCACTGTCATTCTTTTATTTGTAGAGAATTTTCTTTTTGATTTCATTTCAGCAATCATTTGTTGATATGGTTTTGTTATCAAAATGTCTTTATCTGTTTGTTTCCTGGGAAATCATGGTCGCATGCCAATTCAGGACTCATGACTTGTTTCTTTCCCTATAGCAAGTTTTGTGTGGGGGATTGTTATGTGGTTGTCAGAGGTCTTGTCAGTTGATCAGATGGTCATGGTATACAAAGTCAAAGGACAAATGAATAGAAAGAATAAATTGGAAAGCAATAGCATGTGTAAGTAAATATTGGTCTATGAATAGGAGGGCATATTTAAGTGTTCCTTACGACCTCTCATTCCCTCTACTCATATTCCTGACAGCAAAATATTTATGAGGTTCCTATTACTCTGCTATATTGCAATTCTCTGGACGACTACTACAAGGTAGAACTGGTCCTCTAGAGAGGACCAAACCTCCTTTACCCCATGAGAGGCAAATTAATGCTAGTACATCCTAGCACTACTTAGGATGTATCAAAGGTGTCCATGAAATATATCCACATTGCCCGATTAACTTAGCAGAAGATAAGCAGATACTCAACTATCTTGTCCTCATGGCACATGATACAAACATTTAAGATGATGAGCGTATGTGTTGGATATGGTCCATGATTGAGATTCTGTCTAGATATGCTATTTACTTGAAAAGCAAAAAAAATTGGTGGGTAGATCAATGAGGAAAGGTTCCCTACCCGTGGTGGGAATGGAACTCAAGACGTCACATTGTGGAGCCCTGCCACCCTGACCATCTAGTCTTGAGCCCATCTTCATTTACCTGAAATTGAACACATTATCATGCGATAATCCTCTAGATTTGAGGCCAAGGGAGATTGATTGATCCTGATTAAGGCATACACAGAATGATTTGGCTGAAAAATACCCTTGATCCCTGCAATTTAGATCCTCCTATCCACGGACCACGGATGTGACATCTTGTCCATGTTCGAAATATAGAAGTCATTCCATCCAATGTGTAAATCCTTAAACCATAAGAGGAGCTAATTCTGTTCACACTTCAGTACAACTGGCCGCACTAATTGAATAACATGGTAGAAGAAAATGTATCAAATGATGGGTTTTTCAGTTCAACCAGATGTTTCACTAGCTTGACCTGGTTTTCTCGAAATAAAAAGCGTTTTTTATTTATTGGACAAGTTATGGGCCCAGTTTTTATCCAATCAAGTGGTCTGGTCATGCTTTCATAACTATATCTACCTTCACAAATTCATACTTGAGGCACGATTGATCTGCAATCTTGAAGACTATCCTCCACTTTAATTGGTTGATTGTCAGTGAAACTTATGATGGCTTATAGAATTCAATATCACCTATTTAGCAATTTAAAGATCTGCTTGTTTGATATTTTCCTTAGTTCTGTTTAAGTTGGATGAGCTTTACATTGTTACATCAAGCTGTCAATGTTCTTGAGAAGTTATGCAGTATATGTATCATAACTGGAAGTTCTGTTAAACGTGTGCTGTAATTATGTCCAAAATGGAGCATAGATGAAGAAAACTGGTCTTCGGAACCATTGCTTGCCAATTTTCTATTTAGTGCTTGATGAATCATCAGGTATGTGGTACTTTAAGAAAACTCATCAGGTATGATTATAGTGTGATTCAGTACTTCCCTTCTCTTCATTGTACGCTTACATGTCTCAATTAGTTTGCGCTCCTTGGAGTGCAATCTGATGCTTACAAACTAGTTCCTAGTACAATGTCAAAAAAAAAGGAAAAGAAGAAGAAAAGGAAATGCGGGATGGAATGTCTTCTGCAACATGCAATAGATTCTGGATATCACCCTTCTCATGGAGCAACTTAAGCTCAGTGTACAATATGAGTATATGACTGAGAGAAGTGGATTAGGAGCTGCAAGGGTGCCTAGGCGGTGAAACCCCTCTCATTTTGCCCCTCCAGGGGTCTTGTTTATCCAAAGAAAGGAAGACCAAGTTGTTTTCAAAGGGGATGGGAAGGATCCTCTTCCACTAGGGGAATGTTTTATAGCCCCCTGTGCTCCTCTCCCAGGAAGCATGCCCTAGTTGTATGCTAACTGCAACTTGACCGTTTCTGTACTTTCCTTTGTAAACGATACAAAAAAAAAAGAGAAGGAAAAAGGGGAGCAGATTTGAGGTTTGAGAAAACTTATGTTCTCGGTTGCGATTATCCTTTATGGATGGGTAGACAATTCCTAATGGAAGAACTGAATGGGGAGGTCTGATTTGCATATCAAGGCCCATTTGCTCCTATATACCAAGTAGCATGAGATATCTTGTTTTCTTTTCTGCTAGGTGTGTAGAACCAAAAATATGCTATTAATTTCTGTGTGAATTACTTTGTACACAATATGTTATTACAATATGTTGTTACTTTGTACGCACCAGTTACAATCTATTACAACTGTTTGTGTAAATTACTTTGTACACAAGATCACATGGAGAATGGTATATGACCGAAGTATTCTTGTTCATCTTTTTCTTAGGCTTTTGGTCTCAGTCATTCGTTGTTAACTTGTTGCATCAATTGTTACAAGTAATGATACTTGCATATAAACATACATGATAGTTTAAACAATATACATTGGCCCTCACAAGCATCGACCTAGAACAGCACCGGTTAGGAGGGGCGATCTGGTTCTAGTGGAAGGCTCTAAAAAGGCAAGGAGAAGGCCCAAAAGGACATGGATGTAAGTAGTGAGAAGAGATCTTGTGACTTATAGTCTACATGAGGGTATGGCCCTTAATAGAGGTAAATGTCGGAACAAAATTTGTGTAGCCGACCCCAAATAGTTGGGGTAAGGCTTGGATGATAATGATGAACATTGGCCCTCACAAGCAAGTTTCACCCATCTAATTACTTAAAGCTCTTTTAGAAGTAGGACATCAAACCCAACCATCAAAACCCCTTTTATGGACCTTTTCTACCATGCCTTCACGTGAAGGACTCCTAGTCAAAACCCAAGAGATCCAAGGCCAAGATGAACACCTACACGATTATCCGCCATGCCATAACTAATCTATAGCACTATCCACCTAAAAGCAGTATTTGAAATTCCTCTAATAAACAGAAAACCTCTTTGATATTTGATTGGAAAAAAAGGAGAGCCTTTAGGACCCTGAAGATTAGTCCACCTGCCCAAACACCACTCCAAGGCTATCTGCCATATGGTGAGTGGTGCCCAAATCACTATTCTCAAGAAAACTTGGAACTTGCCTAACAGTATGTCTTTTTATTATATTAAAGGGTCCGATTTTGCACAGCCCAGCCATGCCAAAACATTGTCTCCCTCTCTTCTCAAAATCCTTCCCTTTGATGGATGTAGGGCCCAAAAATCTGCAAATTCATCCTCTCGACCTGTAAGATCAAGATCTTGAAAATAAATGGATTTGGAGCCCTAAAAATGCTCTATTGTAAGTGCTATTTGAACATCTGATCTGAACCGCCCATTTCAATGGATCCTATATCGATCATATTTGCATGATTTTAGGAGCTCCGAATCCATTTTGTTTAGAGCAGAAATGGAATTGCTGGTGTATGGGAGGGTTTTTGGATCCTCGATCCATCAAAGAGATGTTTTTCATAACAGGTGCCCATTTGTTTTCCTTTAATAAAACATTGAGTTATTCCCCCGTCAAGGATTTCTTTTTGTTATTATTAGAAAGTTTGCATCAAGTTGCACATGGAAAGGACCAATGAACTGAGATGTAATCCTCAGCTAACATTCTGTTATTTTTATCACTTCTGGTGTGTTGGCCCTAAGAAGAGCATTGAACAGCACTTTAGATTGGGAAATTAACAGAAAAATCTTTTTTTATTGTCAAAATTTAAAAATAGTGCTATATAATTATTTGGGATTGTCTAACCATTTATCTTTTGTACATGAAGGTCACAACCATTCTCACTCATTTGATATCAAATTGGTTGGCTTGGAGAGGTACGAAGTTCTAGAATTTTGTTTTTTAAACTTCGTGTCTATTCAATGACACTCGTACAACTACCCATTTTGAAATTTAAGGGACAAGAATGATTGTAACATCCATGTACAAAAGTTAAATAGTCTCTTTGTTGACGATGCCATATAATCTATATTTGATATTCTACACTTAAATCCTACTTTTTTACAGTGAGTATTGTATTTTCGATATATCTGATTATCCTCAAATTTTGGGCATCTATACTTCTCGCCATGATGCATTTGGAAATAAAAATAAAAATTGTAAAATTAAGTTAAATAAAACTGACCAAATACTCTTACAAATTTCAAATTTTATTTTTGTTGTTTTACTTATTTTTAAATACTTTTTTTGTTATTATTTTTTTACAAATATGAGATGTGATAAGTATCAACTCCCCAAATTTAAGCTCAATCCGATGTATAAAAGATAAAATAAAATTAAAATACAATATACATTCATAAAAGAAAAAATAAATTAAAATACAATACACATTCTCAAAAAGTATGACTTGAGCGTAATATACAAGGCTTTTTTCTGATTTTGATAGTTAATAGGATTTTTTTGTAAATTTCCCCTTTAAATTCGTACTAGGGATTTGCGTTAGAATTTTAGCAGTTCAAAATAAATCTACTTGCATCTTTGTTCTCAAAACTCTTAGGACATTTTTGCTTTGCATCTCCTTCTTTTACTACATTGTTAAGAGGGCCCAAAATTATATTTCCTTCTAGGTATGTACGTCGTGCATTTCTGCACCGTATTCATGTTGTCCTGCCCAACAATAAATTGTACTTGTGCTGCCCTCCCCTCCCCAACTGGCGGGTTGAGAAGGGGGGGGGGGGTGTTCGCTTTATTTAACTGTGGATGCATATGCAAGTTGAAAGCTAATTTAGTTGAGCTTTCATTTAACTGTAAAAGAGTGGTGGTGGTATTAATTTAAGTTCAATGGTTCTTTTATGTGACGTAATCTTTTGAAGAATTTGATACTTGCAACCTCATAGGCTTGCGTTATTAACCATCTTGGCCCCAAACAACCATTCATGAACCACTCCTTTTCTTACCCTTGGAATTTTTGTTCTTGGTTCTCTTCTTTTGTGGGTATTCTCATTGCTCTGTATTGCTTCTACTTTTTGTTGTTCAAGCAGGGCATGAGTCAGCTTGAACTAGAAGATGAAGTGCAGGATGATCTGAAGAGAGCCACGGGAGAGTTCACAAAGGATGGGGATGATACCAACAAATTGAACCGCATCCTTCAACTCACAGGTTTCAGCGACCCTGTCTATGCTGAAGCATATGTAACTGTTCACCAATATGACATTGTATTGGATGTCACGATCATTAATCGAACAAAGGAAACCCTTCAAAACCTGTGCTTGGAACTCGCAACCATGGGTGATCTCAAGCTAGTCGAGCGACCCCAGAATTACACCCTCGCCCCAGAATCGAGCAAGCAGATTCGTGCCAACATAAAAGTTTCTTCCACTGAAACAGGGGTCATATTTGGAAACATTGTGTATGAGACATCCAATGTGCTTGATCGAACTGTTGTGGTCCTTAATGATATACACATTGACATCATGGACTATATTTCTCCTGCAAGTTGTGCTGATGTGCAATTCAGAAACATGTGGGCCGAGTTTGAATGGGAGAACAAGGTATGCGCTAGTTCTCTTTATTATATTCTTTTCGTGTTTTTGGAAGTGTATTTGTTATATATTCACAGTCCCATGATCATGTTAAACAATGGTCCATTGGGGTTGTGACACTTTGATGTAGTGATGGGCAGATCAGAGGAAAGGTGCGATCCATGTTTGCTTGTTTTAGTGGGTCCCACTCTCTTCATTGGAGGCCATCAAATCATTAGACAGTCATGACCTCAATGAACTATTGTCTTCCTAATCCACCATTTTATGATTATCAATCATGCGTTGGACAATTGTATACTTTCCCTTAATATTTGGGTAAGTTGTCATGGTGTGTCTTTATCTCCCCACACAGTGAAAAGTGTTCATTTTACTTCTTGATGGGTATTTCCTGATGATGGAGAACTGAGAAGTATGATCATTTCATGCTGATTAAGAACCTAGGTAGTATTTGGAATACAATTAAGGAGCAAAAGAAATCAGTTGGGCATGTGAGTATATATGGATTCTATGAGATTGGGGGTTGGATTGTCCATATGCATACGCTCATGAACTTTGGAATATGAGAATTCTTCTGTTGTGCTCCTCAGAGCGAGTCATGACCATGGTTTTTGGATGCTGTAACAGGTAGCTGTGAACACTGTGATTCAAGATGAGAAGGAATTTCTGGACCACATTGTCAAGTCGACAAACATGAAATGCCTCACACCATTGTAACTCTCTCTCTCTCTCTCCCTCCTCTCTCTCTCTCTCTTGCACACAAACAAACACAAGACCTGTGGACACCGTTATTGTCATGGACTGAGATTTTCTTTGTCCTATCCCCTTCATCGTATTATAAAAGCAGTAACAGTTCTCTTCCTTGATTTTCATACTTTTCCTTAGGTCTTGTTTTCTCCCTCCTCTCTTAAATACCAGCAGGCATCTGATTTGAATAATTTGGACTCTCTTAGCACCTTCTGATTTCCCTTGCCTCTTCTGTCACTTCTTTTTTCTTTAACATTCTACTTTTTTATTGCTTTACTCTTACTCTGGAAGTTTTTACTGTGACTTTGTTGCTCTAATATGGGTTCAGGTCTGCGCTGGAAGGAGATTGTGGATTTTTGGCAGCTAACCTCTATGCAAAGAGCGTGTTTGGGGAGGACGCCCTCGTGAATGTTAGTGTGGAGAAGACGCCAAATGGGAAGCTGAGCGGGTACATAAGAATAAGGAGCAAGACTCAAGGGATAGCCCTTAGTCTAGGGGACAAGATCACTCTTAAGCAGAAGGGTGGTTAAATCTTCTCCAAGATCTTTGAGGTAAACAAGCCGGGCAGGATATTCTTAAATGTTACATCTTATCAAATCCAAGAATTTGTACTTTTTCTCGTCCTTTTTTTAACCCTGTTTTGGGTAATTGCTAGGAACATAAAACTGCAAATTTTGCTGGGTTTAGAGAGATTTTTTTTTCGGGGTGTTTCATTTTCATGAGAGGTATGTGCAAGAGGATTAGAAATCTATTGATGCTCTAATGCAGTTGGGATTTCTCTTATTATTGTTATTTCTTATTCTGCCGGACCATACAGGAGGTAAAGCTTTTGTATTTTTTGGGTTGCTTGCATATTCTTGGAAGCAAAGTTATTGTGAAGTATGGAATTAGTAGTCTCCAATTATGATATCGGACTCACCCAAAATTGTGATCTATAATATCAAACAAGTGACACGGTGAAATTCATGCATCTTTCAAGTGTATTCGCTATATGCTCTCCTCTGGTCTATCATCTACCATGCACCTGTGGTATGATATGCTAAACTCCTTTTATAGCATTGTGGAGTTTACTTGTGAGATTCTTGGGAGAGTGCCACACTCCTTTTTAACAATATGGTTATGGCTTCATGTTTGAGAGGGACTAAGGAGAGTGTGTGTGTGTGTGTGTGAGAGAGAGAGAGAGAGAGATGGAGCTCAGAATCATTTGGGTAGTTAGTTAATTTTTTAAAGGTGCGGTTTGCATAGAGCCGAGGCTCGAAACAATCAAAGTAGAGCCCAATAGTGTTGGGAATTGTGGTTTCGCAATTAAATATCTTTGTGATGGCTTTAAAATATATTTTCATATCTAATTATAAATTTTAAAGCTTAAAAAATAGTGTAGATCAAGCAGATCTATAAAAACTTTAAAATCTTGAAAATTGACGATTCAAAAATGTATTATAAGATGCATTATTTTTAAAACTTGAAATCCATTTTTTTTTTCATTTCCATGCATCTTGATATCGAGATGTTCAATTTAAGGATATTTGGGCATCAAAACAATTTTTTCTAACGAAAATTTTGAGGTAGGCTTCAATTTGATTGTTTAGAGCCTCGGCTTTATTAAACTTTCCCCATTTTTTAAAGGATCCGGCTTCTAAGCGGTCAAGTCCACATATGTTGAATTGTGGGTCT